TATCTATCTATCTATCTATCTATCTATCTATCTATCTATCTATCTATCTATCTATCTATCTATCTATCTATCTATCTATCTATCTATCTATCTATCTATTATATTAAAATATTTTCCTTCATTTCCTTGACTCTGCCCACCACTGTGGACTAACAGACCGCATAAGAGATCGTAAGTGCTTTTACGTTTATTGATGTCTTAATGTGGATGCTGGCAATGTTTACTGCAAACACTTTAACCGTACATTTAATTTATTAGCATGTTTTTGTTTTCCATCCAACACGCATCAAACAAAATACACTTCAGTGCTGAACTTAAATGAGTCCTGGCATCTGTGTGCCCTTTCAGTGTTATGCTGCTAGTGTCTGTGTTTTATCCTGCGTTTGTGATCGCATGTGAGGACGTGTGTGTTTTATTTTCAACAAGCACCTGCGTGTAGGTTTGGGTGTGTATTTGTGTTTAGCCTCATTGGCTCCCGGTAGGTGGAATTCCTGCAGGAGAAGGGAGGAGGAAGTTTGAAGAGCTGCTGTCGGTTAGGAGGCAGCAGGGCTGTCAGATCAAAGACGCGAGGAAATAAAGAGGAGTTAAAGCACTAAGCACCAGCTCCTCTCCTCCTCTTCTGCCAATAATGGAGCAACGCCCGCAGCCCAAACTTCAATTTGATCAGCTGAGGAAATGGGCTTATTTCCCTGCATCACTGGGAATCCTTTCATTAAATTTCTGCAGTCTCCCTATCCGTCTCTTTCCAAATCTCTGCAAACTTGCCCCTTGTTTGTTTTGTTCCCTCTCTGTCTCTGCGTCTTTTTGCTCAGTTTTTCTGCCGCACTGCATGTGCTCTCTCTTTGCTGCACGTTCATCTATCTCCGCTGTCTGCTTAGCTCTCCATCTTCATCGCCTTTTTCTCATCTACCGCGCCCCCCCTCTGTCCTGTGCCTTCCTTTACCCATTTACCTACATAATATAAATTTATCTCTGGCTGCAGCGCTGTCTCTTTCCTTTAAAGTCAAATTAAAGACTCTACTCACAAGTATCAAGCTGTGGCTTCTGTTCCACTGCAAAGAAGAACAGTGTGAATAGTTCCTGAAGATATGATATGAGAAAAACATTTAAATTTGGATTGATTTCAAGAACTATATAACACAGTACTGTGGTTTATAACACATGTAAAAGACATGTTGGTGTTGTGCCCAGCAAGTTGTTTTTTTGTGCATATGTAAATGCCGCATGTGCTTTATGGCTGCTGTGCACAGTGATGATAAAGAAAGGTAAACCTGTTCATTTGCTCTTTAAAAAAATCCCTGCTTCATTTCCAAGCCCACTTTTTCCTCCCTCTTTCTGTCTCAGTCTCACAGGGGACACTGTGCTATATACCTCTTTTATATGAACTCTTCCTCTTACATTATGCTGTATCAATTTTCTCTCATCTCAACCCATTTATTCCTCCTGCTCTCTTGCTCTTACTCTTTCCCTTGGCCTACATTTCATCTCCATCTCAGGGGACTCTTTTTAAGAGATATTGACTATATAGTTATCTGCAGCTGTTAAAATATGGAAATAAGTGGTGTCTCTAGTTATTCTGTGCTATTTGCTATGAGTCTGAGATGCGTCTTATGCAATCTGTGTGTTAAAGCTAGAGATATAGCAGCATGCATCATGGACACTCATCATGTGAATTTAACAAAGCAAAGCCTGCAAGTCAGTTTGGGGTGTGTGCATTTACATGTCTGTGTTGTGACTCGACTAACTATGACTTTTGATGTATGCAGTCAAGAGGCCTCCAGTGATCAAAACACAGCCGGAGTCTGTCACCGTATTTAGCACTGAAGACTTCGTCATGAACTGTGAAGCCTCTGGCAACCCTTCACCCATGTTAGTCAACACACACACAAACATAAAGATCATGGTTTGATTAAGAATGACAATGCTATATTATTCACAGGGGAGACCAACTATTGGTTATCTGGAACGGTGACCTTCCGTCTCCTTGTTCAGCTGACATCTACATATTAGCATTACATGAGAGCACAGCTTCTCCTAGTCAGATTTCTTGTTCCATTTGGGGATAAATGTCATTAAGCCCTCGAGCAATATTTTCAAAGTGTCTTAGCTGCTCTGAAGTGGAAAAGTGCTCCGATTGCCAAGGAAAAGATGAATATCACAATTATAGCACGAGTTCTAGGTTTGACTGGGACATCTTGTGTAAATTTTGCAGCTATTCATTTGTGCCCTTAAATTAAGCAAAATGTAAGGACACCCTATTTGTGTCATTTTGTGTCATCAAAGGGACAGAATATTTGAAAGAAGAATCATTCAGGCTCTTCTGTTTTTTGTTTTAGCTTCCGATGGGCAAAGGACGGGGAAGACTTTGACCCAGGCAGTGACCCGGAGCTGAAGGTCTCTGAAAGCTCTGGCTCATTCGCATTCTACACACTTAGCAACACCATGGACACACTGAACAAGTACAAAGGCAAATACGTTTGCTACGCATCCAATGAGCTGGGGACAGCTGTGTCTAACGAGGCCATACTGAACACGGATGGTAAGAGCACGTCGACGACTCGTGAACCACCGACCGCTTGTTGAAAGATATAGCCGTGAAATATTTGCCCCAATTTGTAATTGTTTGTCCTTGCCCTCGAGGCAAGAACAACATCATTGAAATACTATCAAAGATATAAAACATCTCTATGCTAAAGAGCAAACTGCATCACACCAGAGGAATTACAAATCTCTTAAATGTCATTTCCTGTTAGCTCTCCTATAAATGCCTTCAAGGTTCAGTTTTGAAGCAAGCTGCGGTATTTGTTGATTTATATATGGTTGATTTAAAAAGCTGTGAATGGAGACAGTGCTTTTCCTGCTTTATACAGCGCTCATCTGTTAGCAGATGGGGCTCACACTGAGAGCTAAGAGTATTGCCACCTGGAACATAATTAGACGCAATAACGTGATGATCATATACACAATCATCCACACACATACATGGGGACCCCTGAGCAAAAGTAAAGAGTACCTCTGCACATCCATCTACCTGAGTGACTGGCTCTCTCCTGGACGACCTCATCCCTCCACAGTTTCCCTGACAACGGTTTCCCCAGAAACGCTCTTGAGTTGATGTCATGTGAAGAAGCACTCTTCAGTAGCTCCTGTGAGGTTATCAACGGATGGGAGGAGGGAAAGCAAACATGTATCACTCACAAATGAAGTCTTCTACAAGACAAAAATAAAACAAACAATGGTTCTGTTTCTGTTTTTGTAGAATCATCAGAAGTCAGTATTTTTAATGTTGCATAACAGCAGAAGAAGCTGATGCACATCAGCTGAAGAGCAAATGTTACTAGAAAAATTGTAACTCTATTGATCTCAATAGATATATTGATAACACATATTATACCACTTTTACATAGATACATGTACAACAATCAACACACCAGACTGCAGTCTAATAGTAGCACAGACAAATTATAGTTATGTGAAGACTAATTAAATGCATGTACACACAGCACTACAGTGGCATGGTGGTACGCACTGTTGTCTTACAGACTCCTCCCACAGTCATGTATGGTTTGGTGACTGGTAATTCTAAATTGCTCATAGTGTGAGTGTGAATGGTTGTCTGTCTGTGTTAGCCCTCCAACAGACCGCCTACCTGTTCAAGGCGCACCCCACCTCTCACTTGATGGCAGCTAGGATAGACTCTAACGCCCAATGACCAAGAAGTGAATAAGTGGAAGAAAATGGTTGTAAGCATGTAGGCACCACAGTTGAGATATCCATAATCCTAATAAACAAGACAACTTATTGAAGCCCCACAATACGCTCTCCACGTGTTATACCCAATAGGCCTGTTTTTAGAAATGTTTCTGACAATAGAGAATCTCCCTTTGCTGTTATTAATGCAACTCTTGTGCTAAGAAGTCCTTAGTCTCAATTTGCATGCTATGTTACCCACATACTGAAATAACCAAGGGCGTTTTATCAGGTCGACTACATATGTGGTCTTGCGTGAGAATCTGCCCAGCAGCTTAGTTTTTTAGGCCTGTCTGTGGATGTGAGACGTGACCTTAAAGTTCACACAGTAAAAAAAGAATGTTTGTGGGGGAAGGAAAGAAGTGAAATTTGTCTTAATAAACATGCCGGACAGATTACTGGACTGCTTCATAGCCAGCTCTCAGCTGACAGTGTTGACAATGAGCAGGATGTTTTCTGCTTATTCGAGCAGCTGGAAAATAGGCAACAGGCAGTGATCAAAACACCACGAGCTCTTTTGCAACACTCCTTTCCAGAGATTCTTCTCACAAAATCTTTAGAATTACTTTTCTTTAAATTTCAGAACTCTTAATCTGCTTGGCTCATCCACAGACACTGCTATAGTTTGTCTGTTAAACATTAGTTTTAATTATTATTTCTGTAGCTGTGTCATGATTTGAAATAGGATGTAAAATTTTGCTATGCATTCATGATTAATAAGAAAAGATACACAGCTTTGAAGGGAACCATCAGTTTTTTTCCTGTTAGAGCCATCACAGAATGATTTTTACAATCACCAACTACTTCCACCTGTAAACTTGTTTTGTTTTTACCAATTTGGAAAATGTCTCTATTTTCACACACAGATAAGGAGCACATTGTCCTGGGATAATGGAAAAGTTGGTCATGTTTCACATCAAATGTGTAAAATTTCATTGAAAACAAGGACACTCTAATAAGAGAAAGTTTACTACATATCAGTTTATTTGTGTTTTTAATATGATGTATTTTTAAAAAACCAAGTATTTTTTATAATTAAAAGAATGCATCTGACATATAACTGAGTACAACTTCCAAGACAAAAATGTTTCTAATTTATGCATATCAATGTTTTGCATATAAGCCAAATGATGAACAGCGTGTCATTTACTACTACGGACACTCCAGCCTGAAACACGCTGCACAAAACTCACCTCACAAGAATGAAGCATAACTCATCCTCTTACCTGCAGCAATATCATATGCCTGGGATACATAGCACTTATAAATAATCAAATATATTAAAGTAATGTTTATATTTGTTGTTGTTGCAAGTTGACAACGTCAAAAATTACACGTTGACATGAAGATAAATTCATATATTCAAATGATCCTTCTAAGCCTGAGCCTGTGAGAACTTTATCACTAGGACCAGCTCTTTATGATCAACACCAGCTCATATAAAATTACAGTATTTCCTGGAATATAATATTGTTTTACACGTGTACAGTAAAGCTGATTTTGCCGTTTTTGTAGTGCGACTGACCCGCACTGTATTCGTTGTTCACGATGACTTGTGTAAGATTGTCTCGTTGAACATCTATATGAGCTCGTCCATCACCTACGTGTTTACTAAGACCTTTTTTTTGTCTTGCCTCCCTTTAAGTTCCCCCCTCCCAGCAGAAAGATAAAAAGGTTGATGAGACGGCTGACGAGGGAAAAAGTTTTATTCTGAAGTGTAACCCCCCACAAAGTTCTATGGAGCCTATCATTCACTGGATGGACTTAAGTGAGTACATTATCTGTCCATCTCTCTGCTTCCATTACATGCTTCCTGTCTCCAAGATTTTGTTGTGCATTTACCACTTCAGAGAAAGCAAGTTAGCAATTTATTTCTGCATCGAGACATCAACATTTCTGCAACATTTTTCCTCTAGTGCTTTTTTACAATCCATGCAGGATCTACATTTTTCAGTTCCTCTCATCCTGTTGCATCTGTATCTCCTGCCCAATCTATGTCCTGCTGTTAATAAGCTCCTCTGTTATTGTAATTTTTTCCAATTCTTTTAAGCAGTTTCAATCATTTTGTCAACATTTTTCTCACTCCTTCTTTTACTTCTTTCAGGGTTACGTCATATCGACCTTAGTAAGCGGGTGATGGCGGGGAAGGACGGCAATCTGTACTTTGCCAATCTGGAAAGTTCGGACAGCAGGGATGACTACACGTGCAATGTCCAGTACCTGGCAACACGCACGATTCTGGCAAAAGAGCCCACCTCTCTGAAAGTCACCCAATGTGAGTTTTGTTGAAGATTATCTAAACTCATCTGACTCAGATTAAGCTGATCTAACCTGAATTAAGGGTGGGTTCCAGTTAACAACAGCTTTATTCAAAATTTAAACCAAAATAAAATGTCAAGGTCTTAAGGAATAAGAAAATTCAAGGCAATTTAGTTTACATTGGTGATTTTCTGATTGTGTGTAAAACAGGATCAGAAACAACAAAACAACAATTGATCATCAGGTAATCGATTCGATGGCTTCTCTGTGGTTGAAACATGTCTTTCAGAACAGTAAATGTGAGTCTCATTGTGGTGCTAGATAGAAAATAAATCAGAGGATCCCAGTCAGTCTGGCCTAATGTCTGGAAATCTGGCTTATCTGTACCAGCGTTCCTTGAATCCTACAACTATTGATACACTCAGAACTTTAAACAGGAGTTTAAATTATTCTCCAAGCGCGTATCATGGTTGTAAAAGTCATTCAGTTACGGAGCTGTTTTGAAAAATAACCAGTTTACATTCATACACCTCTTAAAATCTAACTTCTTTCATTCTTAAGGACATAAATGCTACATTTAAATGCCATATGCAGTATATTAGTTGAGGCCACATAATTAAACTACACATCACCATGTGGTGGCATGTTGTGCTGACCGAAGCAGTGACCAAATCCAGTAGGTCCCACTGAACCAGCAGGGGGTCTTCCTCTGCTCAGCCCATATTATAATGAGATTGGCTGCCAGCAAGTGCGACCCAACTAGAGGTCAGAAAGATGAGCACATGTTAACATGAGACCTCTGTGTGTGTAGAGAGTCTAGATGATGATGTTTTGTTAGAAAGCTAAAGTCTATCAACATGAATCCACGCCCTGCATCTCTACTTGTGTTCTTCAGAGTCTTTAAAGTGGTTGCTGTGTCAGCAGCAGAGCAATCTAAAAAAATGACCCATGCATATGTATGAGTGTTTCTCTTTGTCTTTGTGGTTCCTCCTCTCTTTGTCCAGCCAACTCGGTACTGCGGAACAGAAGGCCCCAAATGATGAGACCTACTGGACATCACAGCACGTACCATGCCCTGAGGGGACAGACACTAGACCTGGAGTGCATCGTCGAAGGCCTGTGAGTGTCTCAGCGTGCACATGTGTGTGCGCTTCCAACCCCTTTAATTGGAAAACTTAAGCCTTCAATCTTACCTGTCTCTCATCCATCCACCCCACCCTACGCATTATTCCATTATGTCTTTCGCTTCTTCCTGCCAACTCTGCTTCCTGCTGCCATCTTGTCTTAATGGTCCTTATCATTCCTTCCGGCATTTCTCTCTCTGCCTGCTTGCTTTACTCTATGTCCACTTCCTCTCATTGTTTTTCTCTCTTCTCTTTAATCCCTCCATACATGTCATCCTTTCTAGTCCAACTCCAGAAGTGTCCTGGATGAGGAGGGATGGCGAGCTGTCAGAAACTCGGACCACCAAAGATATGTTTGACCGCCGCTTGCGCTTCACTAATATCTCGGAAAGTGACGGGGGTGAATACCAGTGTATAGCTGAGAACTCCCAAGGAAACACCAAACACATTTACATGTTGACTGTGGAAGGTATATCTCTTGCGTTTCTCTATTACACTCTCATTCCCTCACACACACATACACACATATATATATCTTGAGAGATAGTGAAAAAACACACAGCATGCTATTATTTTCCATTACATATTTCTAGGTTGATATTTTAATCTCAATATATATGATGTGGTTTGCTGACCATTAGAATGTTTTCGGGGTTTCTGTGGGTAGCTGCATAGACAGAAACCTCCCTCGCTAACTTTTTTTGGAACTGCCATAAATTTGGGTTGTTAGTGAGAGCCTGTTAAAAATAACATCAGTCACAAGAGATGCCACAGAAGCAGAGACACCTTGTGGTTCACACTACACAATCAAACTGCAGAAACACCAGATCCTGCCATTTCCTCAGCTCCCCTGTGTCTTTCATAAGAATAGCTCTGCTTTGTAAACTTCCATGTTGAAACTAATGGGCTCATTTTAAAGTGCAACCTCATTTTTTTTTAAAATTCTATAAAAATGTAACACAGCTGCTTGCACAAATGTGCTTTTTTATGTTTCAAAAAAGTTTACCACTATGCTATATCGCCTCCTCTTTTAACAACACTCTGTAAACTCTTGGGCACTGAGGAGACCAATTAGTCTGAGCAAATTACAAAAACGTTTTCCAACTCCTGACTAATTAATGATGCGCCAAATGTTTGCAATGCGTGCCAGGTCCAGACTGCAGACATGACACAGAGACTGTTGTTATGTGGTTTGGCCTTATATCGCCGAATGCTTTCTCTGGGGAGGATGTTGTTTGGGTGGCAGCATATGTCACACAAAACTTTTTACATCGCCGGGCATTGATGGTACCTTCACAGATGTGCTAATTATAGTTATGTACACCCATGCCGCCAGAGATTACGGCTTTTGAACTGTTTAGTCTCTTTACGGTTTAGAGTGGAGGATTCACTTTTCATGCTTTCCAAGGAGGAATTTTTAGAATTTGAGAGGACAACTGAAATTAATGGAGAAAATGAGACTAACACAAGCTGCAGAGAAAAAATGTTACAGAATACAAACCAGGAAACGATAACACACAACAAAACACATACACTTTGCACAAGAAATTCAAAAACTGAAAGCATCAATGTAATTAACTCAAAAACTCAAAAAAAACCAATCCCCCAAACCAGAATTAATAATAAACAAGGGCACTCAGAGTGTGCAACTGTCCCCGAAGGGCTAAAACATCCAGGTTTTATGCTGATGTCAGCATTGGTAATATGGAAATTTAGTTTAGTGTATTAATCTTTTTGTGTCATTGTGAAGTCATATAATGGATATTAAGGGGCTCGTGGCTCAAGAGTTGGGAGTTCGCTTTGTAATCGGAAGGTGTAAAGCGCTTTGGGGTCCTTAGGGACTAGTAAAACGCTATACAAATACAGGCCATTTACCATATTAAAAATTAATGTTTTAAAGAGCTAAAACATGACTGGTATATTGCTTGAAAAGTCTGGAGATGGAAACTAAAGCTTTTTCCTAATTCATGTGGTCCTGAGCGTTGCCCTATTACCTTGAACCATTACATACTAAAATGGTGTATTTAATTATTTTAAACCATATGTTTGAAGCAGGATTTGAAGAAGTCTTTGGCTTCTCTAAGTTGTAAAAACTTGTGATTTTAAGATATATTCATGCAGTGTGTGATTTTGCGTAAGTGTATGACCTCTTTGTGATGTCATAGGGTTTTATATTTAAAAAGTGTGTTGTGAAGCTCCCTCCATGACCTTTTTTCAATCAACAATTTTGACAAAGAGCAGTGTTGTGGTCACTTGCTTCATTTTTTTGTGCTTTTGTTGATACCTACAAGGTAGTAGAAACTCAGTCTTATAGTATTTTGCTTGTACTATTCGGGACTGATATATTCTGTCACTTGCAGCTGCACCTTATTGGATCAAGGAGCCAGTCAGTCAGCTATATGCCCCAGGTGAGACAGTCAGATTAGACTGTCAGGCAGATGGCATTCCCTCCCCTATCATCAGCTGGACCATCAACGGGGTCCCCATCTCAGGTCAGTGCACACACCTTAACATGCGCCACCACCATCTCCTGGCACTTAAGATGTACTGACAGCGTGTACTCTTTAACAGGAGTTGATAAGGACCCTAGACGTACTCTGACAGCAAGCGGATCTCTGATCCTAGAGGATGTGAACTTTGGAGATACTGCCATCTATCAGTGTCGGGCCTCCAATAAACATGGAACCATCCTCACAAACACCAATGTTTATGTTATCGGTGAGTGCTAGTCGTTACGTGCTGTTTGTTTAACTGCATTTTGAGTTTGTTCTCTGTGTATCTCATTTGTCTTTGTGGGATGTTTCAGAGCTGCCTCCCCAGATCCTTACCGATGATGGGAATACATATGCGTATACAGAGGGCCAGAAGGCTTTACTGGAGTGTGAGACCTTTGGCTCTCCTAAACCAAAAGTGATATGGTGAGGCGGTATTGCATATTCCATCGTTTGCTGGCAGATTTTCCTATTAATACATTCTAAAAAGGTGATATTATTGCGTGGGTAGGTCTTCATGTGCATAAATTAACAGCTAAGTGTTGTTACATCTGGGCTGTGACTGTGAATTCTGTCAGTGTGGCAAATATCCAATCAGGCTTTGCTCCTTGTAGTAAAACAGGAAAAGTGGCTTTTAAGTTATTAAATTTATCAGCCGCTGCAGTTGCTGAAAACCCCTTTTTTTTAAATCACCCGCCAAATTTCTGATGTGTTGGTTTTTAAATTGATGAGCGTGTGTGTCTGTGTGTGTGCGTGTGTGTGCGTTTCACAGGGAAAGAAACAACGGCAGCTCCTTCCTTCTAGCAGATCGCAGAGTTAACCCTCTCAGCAATGGGTGGCTCGAGATCGCTAACGTCACCCACAGCGATGACGGGATCTACACCTGCACTGTGCCAAATTCCAATTTGTCAATCAGTGTTGAGCTGGAAATATTCAGTCAGTGACACTCACATGCTTAGAGACATAGTAACTCTTGGCAACTTTATTTATTACTTGTACCTCCTGCAGCTTGTCTCAGCATTGTATTGTTTGCTTTCTTCTGCAGATAGGACCGTGATACTGTCACCCCCACAGGCTCTGAAGGTCCGGGCTGGAGAGAGAGCCATTTTCACCTGCCTGGGCCTCGTCGACCCCAGACTCGACCCTCCTTTCATTCAGTGGAGAAAGAACAACCAGAAGCTGGCTGATTCCAACAGTGATGAAAAGTGAGACATTTTGATAGCTGAAAATAAAGAGGATCATTTTGGAAATCATGAAAGGATGATTATGCTTGTGAGCCATTTGTTTATTGGGGTGGGGAATGAAGAGTTAGTGGGGAAGGATGGTGATAATAAATTGTAATTCATGATGACGATGACTGTATTTCCTCAGGTATACAATGGAAGGACCGGATCTCAAAATAACTAATGTGCAGCCAGATGATGAGGGAGTGTACACCTGTGAGATCATCACAAAACTGGATGTAGCAGAAGCCAGGGGTACCCTCACCTTATGGGGTAAGACCACTGACCACATATGACCACAAACCGACAAATGTCCAAACCCTGTAAACAACAGGCCTAAAATCATTCTGTAGTTATAAACTCCACCCCCACAAAAAACAAACTCATTTAAAACCTTTATTGTGCATGTAGTGCATAGGTAGTCATGCTAGTAATAATACTGATGTCCCCTATCAGATCGTCCAGACCCTCCCATCCTCCTACAGATCTCTGATCCTAAGGATCGTACTGTCACCCTCAGCTGGACTCCTGGAGATGACCACAACGGCCCAGTGACAGGTGTAGTACAAACACATATAGTTGCACACTTTTAAGCACTGACATGTACAAAACCTTATACTTCACCTAACCTTAAAAACTACATATTAAGCCTATCTCTGTCACCACAAGGAGGACACATCCTCATGACTGCAAAACCCCCACAACACAATCATACAGACATGCGCAGACACAGCTGTCTTTCTCCTACTTCAGAGCATTGGATTAGACATAGAAATAGGGAAAATGGAAGAATTAGGTCAGGACATTGTCCACAGTTGCTCTTTCTCACATGAAGCACACAGCTGGAGATCTGCCATATTAGATATGTTCTTACTGCTAGAAACACAATGTTTGATTTAGGCAAGCGTGGCATCCTTTTGGGGTGGGCGGGACACATAACATGACAACCTGTAAACAGATTGTCTCTACAACAATAACAAAAATACAGACACGCACACGGTTTGAGTGCTCAAATCGCTTAGAAAAGCTAGCTATCCTTATAGCTATACAATAAATCCAGTTCAGTTGTATTTATGTAGCACCAAATCACAACAACAGTTGCCTCAAGGTGCTTATATTGTAAGGTAAAGACTCTACAATAATAGAAAGAAAACAGAGAAAACCCCAACAATCAGGTGACACCCTATGAGCAAGCTGTGTGGCGACAGTGGGGAGGAAAAACTCCCCTTTTAGCAGGAAGAAACCTCTGGCAGAACCAGGTTCAGGGGAGGGGCAACCATCTGCCATGGTCGGTTCGGGGTGAGTCGAGAAAGACGGGACAAAGACAGACACAAATGCAGCTTTATGAGTGTTGAGTGTTTAGTTATGTTTCCATTACTTCCTTGGGATAATGTCCTTTCTCCATCATTCCTTGACTTTTGTCGTAGAGTATGTGGTAGAGTTTGAGGACCACCGTTCGAATGAGAGCGTCTGGAAAATGCTGGCCAGAGTTAGCGGAAACAAAGAACGTGCCGTTCTCTCCCTGTGGCCCTTCATGTCCTACCGTTTCCGGATCATTGCCATCAATGACGTGGGCAAGAGCGACCCTAGCAAACCATCTGGAATATACAACACACCCGCTGAAGGTAAAAGCCATGGATCTGTAGCTATATGTTTATGAACTGTCACAGTAAATCCCAAACAACACTAAACCATCTTGTTTGCTAATCCCAGCTCCAGATAATAACCCTAAAGATGTCAAGAGCGAGTCCATTGAACCGAACACTCTGGTCATCAGCTGGAAGGTATATCTCTTACCTGAATGCACCATTTGGTCAAAGCGGTTACTGATAATATTTGAGAAATGGTCTTATTTGGCTGCTGCTCCCATCTTTACAGAAAATGAACAAAACCGAGGTCCACGGACCTGGCTTCAAGTACTGTGTGCAGTGGAGACAAGCAGTGGGTGGTGGGCCCGACTGGCACGAGAAAAATGTAACAGAGCCGCCATTCCGTGTTGACAATGTCGGGAACTTCTCTGCGTATGAGATTAAAGTTCAGGCTTTCAATGAGATAGGGAGGGGACCTGAGCCAGACACAGTCATAGGCTACTCAGGAGAAGATGGTACTATATTTTTAAAAAAACTATTACTTTTTCAGCACACTTTTCTTTTCCTGGGATTTCTTGGCATTCTAACCCGTCTCCTTCCTGTCTGTCATTGGCGCTCAGTTCCTTTAGAGGCCCCGATGGATGTGGGTGTTGAAATAATAAACAGCACTACAATCAAAGTGACCTGGGCACCTATAGACAAAGACACGGTCAGAGGACACCTGCTGGGATACAAGGTACTGCCCTAGTATCTCATCTGTTGTTTGGCCTGACATATGCATGAATAATACATGAGTGGTTTTAAAGCGGAGGCAGACAGATTGTAGCTTAGTGGCGTCAGGATACTTTGTAGTTTCAAGGTTGTAAAGCCCTTTCTCCCCCTCAAAATATATCTCACACTCTAGAAATACTCCTTAACTTTCCTTTTATTTTGGTTTTTTATGATTCATGTTCTAGTAAATGCCTGCTTTTAAAGTCTTGGAGAACCAAATGAGAACATCAACAGAGTCATAATATAAATGTAACTAAATGCAATAAATGTTACAGTTTTCCTCATTTGCTTGGGCTCAGTTAATGAATGAGAGCTAAACCTGTCGAAAGGATGAAGAGCATCACGAAAAGCATTTCGTTTTCTTTGTTAGGTCTTTCAAATGTTTCAGAACACTTAAACAATTGTCTCATCCCAGCTTTGTGTGTTTTGAGATTTAATTATTGTATATGTCCTTGTGTTCCAGATAGGTCACATTTCTATCATCCAGATAGTTTTTGCCTCCAAAATATGTTGGCATGTAAATCATCCATGCAGAATACTCCATATAAATGTCTAAATCTGTTGGCGTAAGCCATGAGTATGAGAATTGATTACAACAATGTTAGAGAGGAATAAGGATGTGTGGTGGTGAAGCTAGGAGAAGATGTTTCAATACCTGAGGCCAACCATCCAAAGCAAAGGACAGAGCACATGAGAGGGAAGAAGAGAGTGCAGGCAGGGTGGAGTGTCAGGGTAATTTGTGACACTAGGATAGCAGCAAGTGTGAAAGGGAAGGTCTACAAGATGGCAGTGAGACCTGCTGTGATGGATGATTTCAAAACTGTAATTTGGAAACAAAAATAATTTGGTTAGGAGCGATCAGGACGTACACGGTTAGAAATGAGAACATCAGAGCAACGGCTCAGGTTTGGACACAAAGTTAAGAGAGGAAAGACTGAGATAGTGAGGACATGTGTAGAGAAAGGAGTGGATTTATTAAATAAAGCTGCCAGGCAGGAAAAAAAGAGGAAGACCATCAAGGATGAGGTGAAGAAGGACATGAAGAGGGTGGTGAGGATACGATGAGATAAAGGGGGATGATCCATTGTGGTGACTTGTAACAGTAGCAGCCTGAAAGAACAAGAAAGAACAGAGGATGTTTATAATTTGTTATCCTGCCAAACTGAGCTGTTTTGGGAGATTCATCTTCAGATTCAGTGACTTCAAAACTGTTCAAAGAAATGTGCCTGAGCAACTGAGATAAACTGTAATTTTCCAAATATAAATGAAAAAATAAATCCTCATTTGTGATGTCCTCTTTTGCCAGATCCACTATACCAGGAAAGTGCATAGGAGCCACCACCGAGGCCGCAGGGCACAAGAGTTAGAAAGCACTGTGGTGGTGAAAACGGAGCCCAACGAGAAGAAGAAAGTGATCAGTGATCTGAGGCCGTTCTCCAACTACACCCTTAAGGTGACTGTATACAACATAAAGGGAGAAGGACCCTTCTCTGAGGCGCTGCCCTTTGAGACTCCAGAGGGAGGTGAGAATACATGGGTTAAAGAGGCTAGAAATAAAGCTGGAAAAGGGAGAAGTGATGACAAAGTGGTTAAAGATGTTTTATTGCAGATGATACAAATAAGAGGTCAAGAAACATGGCAAAGGGAGAGGGAGAACTATATGCATGAAGAAAAAAGAAATGAGACTGGTAGCAAGGGGTGATGATAGAGTGATGTGATGATAGATATTACTAAGTACATTATCATCATGCATTTTTTGTATTTTTGCTAGTCCCTGGTCCTCCCTTGACCCTGACCCTAGACAGCCCATCAGAGACAGAAATGACCCTCCACTGGACACCTCCTGGACAGCCCAATGGAGTGCTTATTGGATATCTGCTGCAGTACCAACAGAGTGAGCATGTGTCTATTTCAACCTTGCCAGCAAAGTGAACATTGAGTAAAATCCTTCAAGTTGGAAGTTCTTCTATGCTGCAATCAGACATTGGAAAAACGAGCAATGCATCTCCAGTGAAATCAATAGTGCTAAAAATGTCAAAAGGAAAGCATCCTAATGAGCTTATCAGTCAGTTACTTGTCACCATGAACAATACAGTATCCATACATGTGTTGACAACCAAAAAGTGATTAAATGGTTTTTTGGCACTGCTGTGGTCAGTTACAGAGAGTGATGACAGCCCCATGCAGGTGGAGACAATAGATGACCCCACAGTCACCCACATCACCCTGAAGAACCTGGACCATAAGAGCCACTACCGTTTCTACCTCAGGGGGCGGACTGCTGCTGGGGATGGAGTACCAACAACGATGAAGGGTGCCACTATGCTGGATGGAGGTATAAAGCCGATTCAGTCTTTTAATATGTAAAAGCTATTAAATTAAACAAAAATTTGATTTGCACTTGTCTGAATGCATTACAGTAGTTCCTATGAACATCAGCCTGTCTGTGGGGGAAAACGCAGTGAACTTTAGCTGGGTACCAGAAAAGAGACGCAGGAATGTTGGCTTCCAGATCCAATACCGCAACAAGAACGGTATAATATTCACACTAATCTGTGCATAAGTTACGCATCTTTGCATTCAACCTTTTAAAAGGATTATTACCTTGTGGGAGTAGCTACACAATCCTGAACAAGAAAAGAAAAAGACAGGTTTCTTGTTGTGCTTCTGCAGATGGCAATAAATGGAAGACGACAGAGAAGGTGAACTCCTCTCAGTCTTTCTACCAGATCCAGGGCTTGACTCCTGGCTCCTATTATTCTTTCCAATTTATCTACAACAACACAACCTTCTTCAAGACTGGAATCGAGACAGAAGGAACAGGTACTATGAGCCTTCATTCATCCTCTTTCCTTTTATCCCTACTGCTCTCTCCTCTGGGTTTCCCGCAGCTAAAAATATAAAGCCTGATCCTACAGAGAGTGTCTTGCAGTTCTTTCTCTGCCTGTGAAGTGCTTTCAAAGACTTTTGTGAAAAGAGAGCTTGGTTAGCCATATGAAATGATCCATTACTTGTGTTTGTTTGCTGTATTTTGCTGTATTCTTTGGTTCCCTGGTGAAATTCCAGCCTGTCAGAATGCATAATGATCAGTCTCCTTTGCTCTAGATTCTACTCCTTCTTTTATCTTGGTCTCCCTATCTGTCTCATACTTTCCATTTGCCGTGTATTTCATTCCTGCTTCCTGTTACCAAAAAAGCTCTAACTCCTCTTTCTACCACCTTCTTTTTTCCTCTCTTAAGGAGTAACAGAGATGCAGCCAAGCTTTGCAACACAGGGCTGGTTCATTGGCGTTGTGAGCGCCATTGGGCTGTTGTTGCTGATCCTGCTCATCCTCTGCTTCATTAAGAGGAGTAAAGGGGGAAAGTACTCAGGTCAGTGTGACCTACCCTAATAACTGTTTAATATTAGGAGCTATTAAACTGAAGCTTGATGAGAAGCAAGTTTTGTGTAGGCAATGCTGGCCAATCTGGAGCCATAAAGCTGTCCGACGCTGCTGTAGAAAAAGAAGCGAAACGCTTACTGGCTTACTGCACCACAGTAAATATATTATATTGACTGGGGAGAATATTACGTGTTCTTTTAAATCAATCCCAAACAGTTTGATTAACTTTCTGATCTGAACTGTAAATATCTGTCCCATTTCACTAAACCTGCTTTCTCATGCAGCTGTCATGTCAAACATGAGACAGACCTCTAAGCTTACACTTCCTTGCTTTGACAGTAAGGAATAATCTCTGGCTCTTTCTGAAAAAGACAAAAAAACGTAAAATAATGGTCCACGTCTGACTGAAAAAAACAGACTTTTAGCAATTTTCACATGAGAGAGAAGTGAAGACAAACCAAATAATAAGGCTGATGATACCTACCGCCATTATAATTGGCTGTTATATTTTTAGAAAATCAGTGAGAACTTAAAACTATAATACAGATAAACTGATACTATCTACGGATAGTCCAGCTTTTTTGCTCCACCTAAGCAGCCTTGATGCTATCTTGCTTTTTAATAAAACTTCACTGTTGAGATCTGAGACTTACAGTGGCTTTAGATAGAAGCCAGATTAAAATCTGACTATAATGAAATCTGTCACATTCTCAGTGAAAGATAAAGAGGAGGGCCCAATGGACTCGGAAGCTCGGCCCATGAAGGATGAAACTTTCGGAGAGTACAGGTGTGTCATCTGAATGAACGCTGTTTCCTGGATGCTTTGTTACGTTTCTGCACATTGATTTCTAACACAGCCCTGATTCCCTCAGCACTGCTTGGTTTTCCTAACCCTCTCTGTTCCTTTCATTGTCACTCTCCTCCCTAATGCCTGCCCCTGTTATGCAGATCTCTAGAAAGGTATGCTGCGATATGATTTAATATCCTTAACCCACTTAATTTTTACCTCTGCCAATGCCTCACTTACCTTCTGCCTTCCCATAAACATTCAGACTAATTTTAATGTAATATATTTGTTTACTGATTGCATTATGTTCAACAGTTCAAAATCCAATAATGTTCACCTCACTGTAATGTGAGACCCTGAAAAGCAAATAATCACGATTTATAACCTGGAACCGACTATTTAAAAAAAAAATTACTTAAAATATTAGTACATAATATTCAACCTTTGGCATGTAGCACTGCATTTTTCGTATGTATCATGTTAACATTTCTTGCTTTTGACCTCTTCTGTTCTTCATGCTGCAGTGATCTTGAGGAGAAGCGAACAGCCAGCCAGCCGTCCCTGTGTGAGAAGAGCAAGCTGTACAGCGAAGACAACCTCGACTTCAATGGCAGCAGCGCCATGACCACAGAGCTCAACATGGATGAGTCTCTGGCCAGCCAGATCAGTCGTCCCAGTGGCGGTCCAGAAGGTTTCCACGGCCTGCCAGAGAACGCCCCGCTGAACCCCACTACCTTCTCTCCCGCCACCAATGGCGTGCCCAACTCAGTCACCATCCTCGATTAACCCCCACACATCCACCGGGGACCATCAGACCAAAATATGTCAACACGTATGTGCCCATATGCTCCTGTTCCCTACTGACTTGCTGATCTGTACTCCGACGACTAATAAACAATCATATTCAGATGTCCCTGGCAGCCATCTGATTGACTAGACTATATTGACCAAAGGAGTGTCCAAAGTAGTGGACAGCGATAGTGATATAAGCCCTACTGACATGAACATGCCCTTTGACCTCCCTTCATTTTCCTGTGCAGTTTACAACTAATGAAAATGACTAACATTCATTTCTCTCGTTCCTCTTTCGTTCTCTCAGCAAACAACAGCGCAGATGCATAAAGACAGAATGTTGTACAGTTAGAAATATCAGGGGGTGTAGGTATGGTCATGTAAAGATGCAGAGTAGTGCATTAAAAGTAAAGGATGATGGTAGAACCCAGTGTAGGGAACAAGACAGCTAATGCTGCTGTAAAAAAAAATCTTGAATCTTAGATATGAATCATGTTTGATGTACTTCCCACATGATTTTGTCTGTCTAATTGCCATTTAATGTCTCCGATTGTACTTGCCAGTGACATTTTTTTCATTTTACGAGCGTGTTTGAATACCAAACATCATTTTTTTGTTGCTGTTGTTGCTGTTGTGTCATTTTTTGTTACGTAATCATTTTTCATATTGTTTTCTATACTATTTATATAAAAAGCTACGGCACATTTCATAGATTAACATGTTTTCAGCAAAATCAAGTGAAGCCAAGTTTCTTACTATTTGGATGCATTAAGTGGAACTTGCTGTGAAAATGCTGAGTAGCATCTGGTGTATATAGCTGCATCTACACTTATCTATTTAGCCATATTACAGTATTATAGATCCTTATAAGTTCCTGTGCCTGCTGGGTCTGCATAAAGCACCAGATTGATGTCATTACTCTCTCGCCTTCCCACCAGAAGTGTAATGTCATTTTTGAAAACGATGTTGTAATTTTTTTGTGTGTCGAGACCTATGTGTAGTTTCTGTATCGCTGTCTTTGTCTCTTTCTACGCTGTATTAAAACATTGTCTCTAATTAACAACCTTTCATACCTGCTCATCTCATACTAAACAAACTGAGGTGCAGTATTTATGTATATTTCAGATAAGAGAAACACTCTCTCAAGTTTTATTTTCAAACCTTCCTCAATGCAAGCTGATATTGTTGACAGTTGTAAAGGCTGCCATTTGATATATGATAAAGGTTAAAAAATAGTTGTTTATATCAAACAGAGAATGTATTCCTTTCAGGGTTAGGCAGACACTGTATTTACTTGCTTCTGAAAATAATCTGAGCTAAAAAGGTAAAAGGAGAGTAAAGTCACAGGAAGAGCCGGGACCATTTGTTTTCCCTCTGAATGTAAATACAACCCTTACAGAACCATGTTTGATATGAAAATGTGAAAAATGTGCAGGTTTAAAGCCACTTCACTTAATTTTAAAATGTTGCAAATTGTAGTTTTTTTCCTTCTCTGTACTATTGCTATGAATTCAGACTTTTCTGTTATCGACAAACGATCACAGTGAGATTTGGGTGTAGCAAAAACATACTCCATAGTTGAATAAAGGAGAAAAAAAAAAAAGGAAAAAAAAAATCACATTGTTATGTAGATGTTTTTGCAAACATATCGAAATTTGAAAACGGGAAAAAAAAAGAGTCAATTTAGTGTCACTTAGTGAAAGTAGTTACATTACAATTTAAGCTAGGATTGCGCTCATGCCCTTAATCATCCAGCAATGCAGTGCAGTGAATATCTGTGGAGTTTTTGTCTGATGAAGTTGTGCAGGGCAGAAATGCAGTGAGCCACAGGGAACACTTAAACGCGATACTCTCCCTTCTCAAACAAAAGCTCGCCACTGGCCAAATATCAACTGTAGTCTCTGAGGTAGAATATGAGATGTCTAAAGAGGCTAGTGGCACTGAAGGAGGTTTGTGTAAGCTCCCTGTTGTTGGTTAAACAGACACACTCAGGACAAATAAAGCTTTTAAAAAAAATCTATTTTCATACAGGAGCGACGAATGACGCAAGATATGCCAATATTCTAACTCAACTATCTGCTGCTAAACAACTGTGTGTCAGTGTTTGGGGGCAAATGTTAGCTCTGAATGAGGAATGAGTGTACACACACAGATACTCACTCGACTGCCGCTCACTCTTTGCTTTTCATGTTTTGTAGGGGAAACCTGGGGATGCTGTCCTTTGCTTTCTCACTGTGGTTGTTCTTTCTTTTTTTTATATAGCTAAAGAAGAAAAATCGATTGAAAATGAATTGGTTTGTGTAGAGAAGCTTCTCTAGGACTCAAGAACAGACATTTTAAGTGGAAGTAAGACAAAACAGAAGGGGCAAGGGAGGCCAGGGGGTGTGCGCCGCTGCTGGGGATGATATGCCTCTTCACAGAGTGTGGGGTGCAGTATTAGCACAATATGATGATGCCTATATTTGTCATGGGTGGATGACTGGAGCTGTGGGTCTTCTGCCACTTTTGGGGCCAATATTGTAACTGCATTATGAAGCTACTGCTGTAACTGGATATATGACTGAAAAATAAAGTACGTGGAACAATCTGTACCAAAACAGGCTCCCATTTTTTTGTCACTAATCAGAAATAACCGTGTTAATCGGGAGGAAATCTATGTCACTTATGTTATGATTAATGTTCATCCAGTTCACACTGATTCATTGATTAACCAGGTTTATTTAGCCCAATGCCACAGGAGGACAAGCTAATGTCAGGTCACTGGCAGTCAGCGGGAGCTGGTGTTGAATTGATAAAAGTAGTCCTTGGTGGGTTTGTTGGTGTACAGTCTCTTATTCAGGTACTCTTGCCTGGGGCAGAAACAGAAATTTAAACAGAGTAAGTAGCTTGTCCCCCTAAATGTTTATAAAATCTGAAATCTCTATTTCCATATTTTATCACCTAAGCCTAAAACACATTTGCTGATTAGTGTCTAATCAGAAAGTGTATGAATATGTGGGCAGTGCTTACTGTGCCAGCTGCTCTCGGGCCAGCTGCATGTTGTAGCGGTCCATCTGAATTCTCCGCTCTCTATTCAGCTCGGCTGCTCTCAGGTCCTCCTTCTCGGCTTCTCTGGACAGCTTCAGCAGCTTCAGGTCCCAAGCTGCTTCACGGATCTTTTCAGCATCTCGCTGTTTCTGAAGGCAAAGAGGAAATAAATCTAAAAACACACTAAACTTGTTCTCCTAAAGGCAATTCTGCTTCATTATGATTTAGGTTCCCAGACTTTCATGCTGATTTTGGGTGACTTTAACATGCCTGTAGATAACACTGAAAAATGCAAAGCTTCAGAGCCAAATAATCTGCTGGAGGTCTTATGGCTTGGTAACTGGATCCACCCAAATGTTTTTTTCTGTGTTAGCACTTTATGTTTATGCTTATTCTTGCCACTATTGCATCTTGAAATCAATGTTGATCATGTTAATCCAGGTCCAGGCACTAATGGAAAGTTTGGGGCCTTATTTTAGTACACTAGAAAGACTAGAAAGATACCATCATCCTGAATAAGGAGAAAACTGATATACACTGGTATATTTTTCTAATATCTCCAGCACACTAAAATAAGACCTTTTATTACTTGTTCAAACCAACTTTCAGTGCCTGTATGCTGGTTTGAGCACCGCTGGCTTGATGGACACTAGTAGTGCCCCTGTTACATTTACTAGCTTCCAATTAGTTTTAGAATTGATTTTTAAAGGTTAGTGCTTTTTTAAGGTGACGCAATGTTTGCGACCTCAATATCTATCTGGCAAGCTAGTAAGCTACCCGCAGACCTCATGGATTATTTACAGAGTCTTAAGCAACACTGGTGATGTGGCTTTTATCTTTTCGCTGCTGAAACAACCTTCTGAATCACATCAGGAGTACTCCAACATTTGCAGTGTTTAAAACAACACAAAAAGGAGGGACAAACCTAAGTTGAACACCATTTCCACTGTGGGAGAAGAGCTACAAAAACCTGGGTATTCACATCAATAACAGACTGGACTGGAAATGCAACTCTGAGGCTGTCTGGGTCATTTAATGAATTCAGTAAAACACTATTGTCTGTTACTGCTAGTGCAATCTTCTTTGTAGGTTTGTTTTGGGGTAGCAGCGTCAGAGCCAGTGACGCTGGAAAGCTGAACAAGCTGATTAAAGGCTGAGTCTGTGCTGGGGACTAGCCTGAAGCCCCTAGAGGGAGTTATTAAGAGCAGGATGTTGCACAAACTGCTAAACATACTGGACAACACACGACATCCCCTTCATGACTGTTGTCAGCAGGTGACTCCCTTAACTCTGCTTTAATAATGACTGACATTAGTATTTTAATGTATTTTTTAAAGTTATTTATTTCTTTTTGTTTTATGAACTTTAATTCTACTTATTTTATTGGTTTTAAATGATCATTTATACTCATCTGTCAATAGTTTTAATTATCTTAATATATTTCTCTATTTTATGGACTGAAGGTATCGATCTCATATACATGTATATTTTTACTAGTAATATTGCACTGTTGCTTTTTTGGTTGTTTTTACTTGTGATTACAGACTTTGTAGGTTTCACATTCCCGTCTTGTGTTTTTGTTTTTTCAAGTGTAGGATCATTTTCTTTGTGAGTAATCTCCTCAAAGCTGAAATCCTTTTTGAAAACCACCTGTGTAGAAAAGTTGGCACAGATGTCAAAAACTCTTTCCCTTCATCCCAAAATGGTCGCGGCAGATGGCTGCCCCCCCCCCCGAGCCTGGTTCTGTCTAAGGTTCAACAAGAGTTTTTCTGTCCCACTGTCACCAAGTCGCTCAATTGCTGTTGTTTATTTAACTAATATTTTAGGGTCTTTAACCTACAATATAAAGTGCTTTGATGTGACTGCTGTTGTGCATTGCTGCTGACAGAGCTGAATTAAATAAAAAATAATAAAAAAGAAAACACTAATTTTAAATCCACACATGCAGTGCCCAAGCACAAGTACTTGCCCCGCCCAATTCCCCTGCTGGCCACCTCTGTACTCAAGGGATTATGTGGACATGGTATTCTACATAACATATATGGAATACCTTGTGCAGCTTTGACTATATTACTGTGGAGTACCGAGTGTAATACCTGTCTCTCAAGGCATTGTTGTTCTCTCTCCTGCTGAATGCTTTTCAGCTGTTCGGGGCTCATTCCTTTCCACCTGTCTGGTAGAACCTGTGGTGGCCTCCCTCCTCCCACCTGTCTCTCTGTTGCCTCTGCACACTCTGTCATCATGTCAGATGTCATTGTATGCCACATCTCTGCCAGATTTTCCTGTTCCTCTCTCTTGCGTTGCTCCTCCAGTTTCTCTGCTTGCTCTTTAGCCTGTGTGTACAGGACATGGTGAGGCTTTAACACAGATCCAGGGACAGTTAATTGATTATCCCACTGATGACTGATGATTCAGAAGCATTGCAAAACCCAGTTTCTAAAATGTGGTTACTCCTAGCATAGCGCTACCAGTCAGCCATATGGCAAACGTCGTCCTGAGAGAGCCACTCAGTCAGCTGTATTTGTTTGTGCATCATGAGTGGTTATTAGTGAAACCACTAAACACTATGAAAAAGTACAGTGACCTGAAGGATTTACAATGATTCCTCCCAATGGGGGATTCAGCCGAGTGCATTCAGGCAAATGAGGGAAGAGCTAAATGGAGGCTTTTAAAAACAGACAGTAACCATGCATACATCAAAGCCGTTTAACCATCCATGTTGCCTGGTGCCAAATAATATGATTGCCGCCATCCTGCACCAAGTGTGTGTATGCATCATTTGACATTTTCAGCTTGCAATTCCCACATGACAACATCATGTCACAGCTTGCCCCTTCCCACCCCCCACCCCCCTTAGATTTTGCCTTGAGCATTCACATTAGTGAGTGGTGTGTGCATATCTGTTTGCCCATCTGTATACTGTACCAGAGCCTGATTGTAGTTCTCGAGCGCGATGCGGCTGGCTCTCTTACACACCTCCTCGAGGGCAGCTTGTTGAGCCCCTCTCACGTCTTGTTGCACCAGCTCTTTGCTCGCAAGCATCTCTGTGACACACATGATTTGGGGATCATCTGATGTGTGTTTTTCCACACCTGCCTTAGCTGTTGTATTTGGCTTTTTAACTGCACACTTCACACTTACAGTAAAGCTCTTAGGGATAAGCATCCATCACTGTCACCTGGTAATAAGGGCTGTGCATGGGAGTGTATGATTGTTTGTGCAGGAAAGCATGAAGCATGTGTGTGATGTACAGAGGTTGTAGAGTAAATGATGTAAACTCATTAGGAATGCTAGTGAATGTGTGTACTTGTGTGTGTCTCTTTTCACCTATGTGCTTGTCTCGCATGTGCCGTTTTTCATTCTCGTCCATCTGTGCTCGCAGATCTCGTTCTGTCTTTCTTATTTGTTCTCTCATCCTCAGCTCCTCTCCGACACCCTCTCCCTGTGCATGAAACAAGGACAGATGACCATAAGAGGTAACAATATTACATATTTAACCATTAGCTGGACCCCCCTCCCGGTCTTTAAAGCTTACAAATCCCCTGCTTTGTCAGAGCTGCCCTACCTTAAAGATTTGCATACTGGCAGGCCCTAGCTCATTCTCTGGAATGGCGATCTTGAATGCCCCCTTCAGGCCAAATTTAAGATCAGCATCACGAGAGTCCTCTGGTCGCTGATGAGTAGCCCAGTAATTGGTGAGTTCAGAATTCAAAACTCTTCGCTTCTCCTCTTCAGCATTGTTCTGCTGCACCAGTGCTTCATCTTGGTATATTCTCAACTTATCTGTAATACATTAAAAATACACCTGTGACCAACCAAAGCTAATTAATGGAGAGGGCCTGAAATAATAAGGGACTAGGGGACTTGCATTTATAGCGTCTTGCAGGAATTATGTCTGCAATTAAACTGCTTTAATTCTAACTCATCCATGTCCTTCAGTTTACCCAAAGCTTTGTCCATTTGTTTCTCCATGTTTTGCTGGTGTTTCTTCTCCTGGACTTGTTGGTTTAGTGTGTCTAGGTCGAGACCCATCACACGAAGCCGGGTGTTGAAAATGCGGGCCTTGCGTGCTGTTTCTGCAGCCCTACGCCTCTCCACAGCCTTTTCCGTGGACTCGTCTACAGGCAAATCCACTTTGAACATGTTCAAAGTTTCTAGTGACTTCCTAAAGAGACAGCATTACGACACTTGTTATCGGAGCTGATAATCTTGCTTGAAAATAAATTATTAAAGAAATGATTGTGCCGATTGAAATATAAAATCCTGGTGGGGTTCATCTTCAGAGCGATTTGCTCCTGTCATCACCTGATAACATCAAAAACCAAAGGCAAGGCAGAAGTAGACTAAATCAAATGTCTCTTCCTTAAAAATGGACATAAACCTCTGATCAACTTACCGCTGACGTTATAAATCTGTTCAGTTTCTTTCAATATCAGTGAATGAAAATCTGCTCCTGTTGTGTTTGGAGACCCTTGGTAACCATGGAAACAAGTGGCCACACATCGCTATGCTGGAAACACATAACAAGAGTGACAGGACCAGCTAAGGAAATGTCTTTTTATTTTTAATAATGTGTATATTCTGTAATAAAGTAGCATTAATAGTAGTAAAAAGTGATATCCAAGGTCGATCACAATCAAAACACGACAAACTCCAGACAACTAAATTTTGTCTCGCGAGAAACTGTGAGGTTTCGTGTCTCGCGCGCTTGTGGGTCTTCCTGTTGGATTGTAAAATGGCGCATTGTTGTCGCCGCCGTACCGAGTATATTTGATAAAGATTATATTTTTCATTTTAATTTTTAAAACGCTTGCGCAGATCATAATGTAACTTGTGCATAGAGCAGCAGTAGATTGACCAGAGCGGTTCATTCATTTCGTGCACACTGCGTCTTTGCAACAGCTTACCGGGTAAACATTGGTTGTTAGCATTAGCTAACTGCTAAGCTAATATTCACTGCAGACCAGCTAAACAAATATAACGAGATGGGTTATTTAAAACTGATAGAGATCGAAAATTTCAAGTCGTATAAAGGAAGGCAGATCATCGGACCTTTTCACAAGTTTACTGCAATCATCGGACCCAATGGATCTGGTATGTAATAACAGCTAACATAAACTCGAAGCTAATGCGAAATGCAAACTGCTAGCTGTGCCTAACGGTAAACACAGCTCCACAGCCCCTTTCTCTTTAGATCATAACTCTCAGTCTGTGCATAGCTGAACTGTATGGGGGTTCAGCTGTTGGTAGTGTGATGTATCGTATTGTTTCACATCCATATTTGCCACTAGAGTAGTTATTTAAATTTTATTTCGGTGTATTAATCGTTGTCAGTTTGTAGAATAACGTATTTGCATTTTAATTGAAGTAATTCCTTTAGACTGCTTAAGCACTTATGTCGTATAGGCACTTAATATATTTGTAAACATTGGGGTTGGACCTACCTTTACACTAGAGAAAGACGAAGTCTTTCAACGGTCTTTTCTCGTAATACAGTGCAATGCATCATCAAAATTATCTGGCCAACACAACGTGTAAAAACTGCATACTAATAGCCAATAAGATGCATTTTATTGCAGAACTGCTGTTTTGCACCAGACTGTACAAATAAAAGGTGAACTTTCCTATAATATTTACAGGACATGCATATTATCCCCATTCCATAGTGTACAACTAGAATAAATCAAAAATAACATTAAATAAAACAGAGATATAAGAATATGAGATGGGATGTAAAAATGAATATTAGGTAACAAAGTATGTTTTACATAAGGGATATTAAAGCCTATATACAGTTGTTGTTTATGTATAGAAGCAAGCAGCAACATGGTCTTAACATGTGTGTTTTAATATAAAAAGGTCCCAAAGTTTACTAAGATTTCAATGTCATCATAATGTTTGTAGGAAAGTCCAACCTTATGGATGCCATCAGCTTCGTGTTGGCAGAGAAGACAAGTAACCTGCGTGTGAAGACTCTGAAGGATCTAATCCATGGAGCGCCTGTAGGGAAGCCAGCTGCCAACAGAGCCTTTGTCAGCATGGTGTACCAGGAAGATAATGGAGAAGAACGTGCCTTCACAAGAGTCATTATTGGTACAAAGCTCCATTACCAACCGTCCTTTAATATATAATTAACTTTCTTTTTGAATAGTTGTCTGTGTGAATTAAAAGACACTGATCTAGTAAAATTTGAATGCTTTTCAGCTGAATAAAAGGATAGTAGTAAAGCTGCATGGATATCAGTTTTCAAAAATTGACTCATCGTCTAAGAAAACATTTTTACACGTGTTTGCAATTTGGTGGGTCAAAAATATTTAAAATCTGTTACATTTATAAATGTATATATATATAATTTGTGTGTGTTGATGATGAGCTAATGCTTGTTTTGTTTTTGGAATATGCACCAGGTTCTTCCTCTGAGTATCGCATCAACAGTAAAGTAGTGGGCCTGCCTGAATACAGTGAAGAACTGGAAAAACTTGGAATTCTGATAAAGGCTAGGAACTTCTTGGTCTTTCAGGTAAGATTTCATTCTTGTAAATGTTGTCAAGATCTTTTCAAGAGCAATTTACGCACAGGCAGTCTTTCATAGTACTCCTGTACTAATCCACTAGGTTATTTTGATTGGATAGTGCAGTAGTTTTTAGTGTGTGTGTGTATCATTGGTTTGAACGTGACTTGGTCAGTTACACCAGAGATTAAATTAACACCAGGTAACATTTTATTTGCTATTTCAAATCTCAGTTTTGTCTTTATTTCCCTTTAAGGGAGCCGTTGAGTCTATTGCCATGAAGAACCCCAAAGAGCGTACGGCGCTGTTTGAAGAGATCTCCCGTTCAGGAGAGCTGGCCCAGGAGTATGACCGGAGGAAGAAGGAGATGGTGAAAGCAGAGGAGGACACGCAGTTCAACTATCATCGCAAGAAAAACATCGCTGCAGAGCGCAAAGAGGCTAAGCAAGAGAAAGAAGAGGTTTGCCATTTTTACTGAGTCTGCATAGGACACAAAGTGTCATGATCAGTGTCTATGGTTATTTTTCATTTACTGAATTCCTCCATACAGGATCCATTGAGTGGTATAGTCTGTTTCTACTCTAACAAATTTTAGGTAATATATAATTCCAGATAATGCAAATACTTGTCATTCATATGAATGCACCAAATTTCAACAGTAAAAGACAAACTAGGAACTTTTAGCTAAGCTCAACATAAGCTTTCAGCAATGTAACAGTTTCAATTGCACATCCTGCATATAAATCTATCCCACATATATTTATATAAGAGAGAAAGTCTGGTGTTAGGTGAACAACACAAAGATGAAGTAAAGATTGTTACACTGTAATCGGCAACAAATCTGTGTATTTCTTATTTGAAACGACTCAAAAATAGCCTTGAAACAAACTTTTGAATTTTCGTGATTCGTTTTTTGGGTTATCTGATGGAAAAACCTCAAATTCTCATTGGTCATGAAATGTGGAATCAGTTACATCTCTAATCATGATTTGCTCGCTTCTCTCTTTTCCTTCATTTTACCAGGCCGAGCGTTACCAGCGTCTTAAGGATGAAGTAGCCAGAGCTAGTGTACAGTTGCAGCTCTTCAAACTGTACCACAATGAGACTGAGATCGAGAGGCTGAACAAAGAGCTTGGGCAGCGGAACAAGGAGATTGATAAGGACCGTAAAAAGATGGACCATGTGGAGGAGGAGCTGAAGGACAAGAAGAAGGAGCTGGGCAGGCTGATGAGGGAGCAACAGACCATTGAGAAAGAAATTAAGTAAGTGGCATTAAATAAAATAAGTTTTGACATTTAAAGCTTAATGCACCATTAGTCATTTGACTTACATTAAACGGTTGACTTGACTACAGGGAGAAGGACTCTGAGTTGAACCAAAAGAGGCCTCAGTACATCAAAGCCAAAGAGAACACCTCACACAAAATCAAGAAGCTTGAGGCAGCAAGAAAATCACTGCAAAATGCCCAGAAGATGTACAAGAAGCGGAAGGCAGACATGGATGAGCTGGATAAAGAGATGAGGGCAGTGGAGCTGGCTAAGCAAGAGTTTGAGGAAAGAATGGAGGAGGAGGCGCAGAGTCAAGGCCAGGATCTCACCTTGGAGGAAAATCAGGTCTGATGTGTGAAAACTACATTTTAGCCATTTTATTTTGAAAAAATACCAAATTAGTTACAGGATTTTAGTAAAATTATAATGTTTCATGAAATTGAAAAATGCACACTCTTTGTCTCCCTTCTTCCAGGTGAAGCAGTATCATCGTCTGAAGGAGGAGGCCAGCAAACGTGCTGCCACGCTGGCACAGGAGCTGGAGAAGTTCAACCGTGACCAGAAGGCTGACCAGGACCGCCTTGACTTAGAGGAGAGAAAGAAAGTGGAGACAGAGGTAAAGGAGAGAAAAATGGAAGATGATGGAAAGGTTTTATGAGCCAGAACGAAATTGATTTGATAGAAGTTGTTGTTTCTCTTTAGGCCAAAATTAAACAGAAGATCCGTGAAATCGAGGAAAACCAGAAACGTATTGAAAAACTGGAGGATTATATTGCCACCAGCAGGTATGCTGCTCTTAATTTTGGATTGTTTTGAGCGGAGCTGTGGCAAACTTATTTTATAGGTTTCTCTGGTTTACTGTGTGATTCACATCCTTTTTTTCCCTTCTTTCCCCATCAGGCAATCACTAGATGAGCAGAAGCGTATGGAGGAAGAGCTGACTGAGGAAGTGGAGATGGCCAAAAGGAGGATCGATGAGATCAATATGGAGCTTAATCAGGTACTCAATGCACAGGAAAGAAAGAAATCAGCACCAACAACAAGTTGAATCTACTCTAATTGAGTTAGTTAATTTTTGCATGTGGTAACTCTGCTCCTAAAGACATCAGCCTTTTTCTATAGCTCATATTTTCCTGAACTGTACAAGACAAAGCATTATTTCTTTTTGTCAATCAGTAGACTTGATTAAATAAATCATTGCTTTGTGGGTCATTAATCCATGTTAGCACCCTAGCTTGGGTAATACTGGATTCTATAAATTCTTACATCCGTTATGGGAAGTGAATACGTCACCTATCGTAGCACCTCTGATGAATCCCCTTATTATTGGACTGTGGTTTAGGTGATGGAGCAGCTTGGAGACGCCAGAATCGACAGGCAGGAGAACAGTCGCCAGCAACGCAAGGCCGAGATCATGGAGAGTATAAAAAGACTCTATCCTGGCTCTGTGGTAAGGCACCTTTGGCACTATACCCATGCCGGGTCTGCTTTTCTTTTCTTTTTGGTGAAAGCATTTAAACATTGAGCATAAGAGCACTAAACAAACAAACGTTTACCGATTGTGTTTTCAGTATGGTCGTCTGATCGACCTGTGTCAGCCCACTCAGAAGAAATATCAAATCGCTGTGACTAAAGTGTTGGGTAAGAACATGGACGCCATCATTGTTGACTCAGAGAAGACTGGCAGAGACTGCATTCAGTACATAAAGGA